TATTAGTTAGATTTTTTAAATGAAAAATAGACCATTTATTGATTTGTACATGTCATTCTTATTCAAGGATTATATTGATTTTCTATGTATCGTTTCAATTTTATTGAATATCCATGAAGGGACGCTATCCGCTATTAGATAATCAACTGATGATACCAATTAAGGTTGTGGTGGAGTGGTAAGTATTCATTCATTCTTAATCAAAGGTTTTGGGTTTGAGTCCCTCTGGATACGGAGTCCCTTTTGTCAGGAAGCGCTTCATCTCCTGGACTTTTTGACGCAAATTTAAATTTAGTCGAATTTTAATATAGATACCGATCATCGAAAAAAAATCCAAAAAAAAGTCAACTGATGATGAGTTATTGTTTGTTTGAAATCTCAGCCATTCTGCGTACAGTAAGCATGTACCTAGTCAAAAGGCTCTTTTAATGTGTTCTTTTGTTTTTCATTCAATATTTTTGTTTTTCATTCGGCGTTTGATATTTATATTAAAATTTAATTAAATTTTAATTTATGCACGGTAGATACGATTTCCTTGTGCTCCCAACATCATACTTTTTTATTCTCATGTATTCGAATTTAGAACTCTAATTAAGAATGAAGATATTCTGAATCATCCCACGACAATTCACGTAGATAGCTCTTATGGCTTCTCTATCATGTCAATTTAGAGCTTTTAAGACGCATTAATTACTTGCTTTTATCTCTTGGAACTAATCAAATTATTCTCAAATTATACCTTCTTAGAGTTGATCCTTATGATATTTAATTAAGTATATTTAATTTTTTCAATTAATTAAAACATATTTTTTTTAGTTTTCTACTTGTGAATCTTCATAACTTGATGAATTTATAAAATGGTAAATTGTTAAATTATACATGTATTATGTTAATTTTGTAATGTTATTTTATTCTCAACGATACTATAATCTTAAATATAACTTTTCCGTCAAAGTGAAACGAATAAAATAAAAGTACCCTAGCCAATAGATTCCTCTTTTTTTCTTGCTTAATTTTTTTACATGTTTTAAAAAAAAAAATCAATATTTGTCATAAAATTCCAACAATTTCTTCCACAAAAACGACTCTGATGGAAAAAATATCCATTTATTTGTATCAATCAAAATAGGAACTTTGACTTCAATCAGTCAAACAAAAGAAAATTAATAAAGTATGATGATTTCTCGAATAGTATTTAATATGCATTTCGATGAACTTAACGTTATTTTTCTTAATTGAATGACATATTTCTACAATGTTTGTTTTTCTTTACCATACAGCGTAACTAAATGATTCAACTCACATTGAGCCAAGTGTCAATATGGGAATAACAAAAAATTGGAAAAAGTTCATGTGTCCATATTAAAATGTCCTCTTCGACTTGTATTTTCATTTATTTATTTTTAAATAATAAATGTCAACTATATGCTAAAATGACTTTTCAATTTTCATATTTGAGTCCAGAGAAGATGATAGTAACCACCATGTTAACAATAGCGACAGCACGTTCAATGATGTTATTATTCCATATATACGACACATTATAAGATTTAAGTGTAGTTTGTATTCAGACTACTGATTTTTTTAAAGCGTCCATTATTATTTCAGAAAAAATAAATGCTTATAAGTTCTTGTAAAAAGTTTTCGAAATTTATATCTCCATCCACTAAATAAGAGGAATTTTTAAGAACATTGACAAAATATCCAAAAAGATAAATAAATCAAATTTAAAAAGCATTTGAGAGATTTTTAATTTTATGAGTAATATTTATCAATTTTAGTGATGTTATTATTTGTTTGAATTATTAATTAAGTCACCTAAAGTAGGATAAATTCAAACAAAGGGCAGGTATGCACATGTTCACAAAAAATATATACTGCAGAAAAAAGACACTTGTTGGATGGAGTTCTAAATGCATGTTATCATTATTAGCAAAAATTTGTAAAATCACACACCTCAAAGGCTATAGAATTCCTGAGAAGAACAAGGCTCAAGAGTAATAATGTAGAGTTTTGGGCTAAATTCATCCCTTAACTAAGACTAAGGCTTAGGTTACATCCTTGTACTATAATAATTAACAAGAAACATCCTTTTAGTATTTAAAATATAACAAAAGTCAGTCTTCTGTCTATTTGAGTTAAAAAACTAACATTGCTTTTTCAAAAAGTGATTTTCTCTCTCCCATATCCCTATTTTGCCCCTCTCAAATCTGTCCCATCGTCTGTCTTCCATATTCAACAAAACCAAGAAGAAAACTCAATATTTTCTGAACTTCACAAAATAATCAAGATCAAGAACAAATTTTTCTCTTCAACTAGAGTTGAAAACAGGGCAGAGAGTGAAACACAAACAAGGTAAAGGAATAAAAATCATTGAAAATTTCTAGTTTTTCTGATTCGAAAAACATTTGCAATTTTCTATTTCTCAAACTAAAACATCTTCATTCTTAAAAACACTAGATATTGCGGGTTGCAGCATAACAACTAACTGGAACAATGTCGATTCGAAGTTTACGTGGTCAATCGTCCACACCCAACTATGGTATTATCGATATTCAAGACATTTTAAGCATTTTTTAATATAATTTGCAATGCCTTTCTTATTGATTTATAAGTATTATTGATTTTGAAAAGCTATATTAAGTTTTTTATTTGATATATAAGGTTTTGTTTTCTGGATATTCATTATAATGAGCTTGTAGTTCTTTGTTGGCTTTATGTATTCAGATTTGTATTATATTTGTATAAATAACAGTTTTTACACCGTTGATAACTTGATAGTATGTGCAGATTCTATGAATGAGTCATCGTTTTTCACAATTAAAGTACATCATGGTGGATCATTTGTGCGTAGTTCGACAAGAGGCTACATAGGTGGAAAAATCGAATATTTTGACTATGTCGACAGTACAATGATTAATCTAATATATTTTAAGAATATAGCGGAACAATGTGGTTATGACAAGGAATCTGTGGTATTTTGGCACAAGTATGGTTTAAACTCTTATAAGGTTCGATTAGTTGGGAGTAATATGGAAGCCGCTAAAGTTGTTACTTGCATTCCAAAGGACAAAGTAGTTGAGATATATTTGGAACATTTGAATTTTTATCATGATGATAATCAATGTGGAAATGAGATGAAAAAGAATTCTTTGCTGGCAAATGACACAGAGGCACACAGTGATGAATTTGACGATGACGATTTTAATGATTCTGACTATTCTTTGGAGCGGGATGATCTATTATTTTAAAAAAGTGTTGATCCTTCTGTTGAATCTTTTGGGATCAATATAACTGTGAAAAAGAAGAAAAATGATGGAAATCAAAATTATGTAAGTGAAGAGATGCATAGAAAGATGCAGAATGAGGAGGGTGACTCAGATTGTGTAGATTTTGATGATACAAAGAGTTTGAATAGTGATTGCGATTCTGAATTTGAAGATTGTAACTTTCCAAAGCATAACCCAAAAATAGGTGCCTTTAATCCTGAATTAGAGCTGGGAATGGTATTTGATAACAAAAAGGAATTCAAGGAAGCCGTGGTTGCAAATCAAGCCAAAATAGGAAAGTTAATTCGGTGGAGCAAAGATGACAGAGAAAGAGCTAGGGCCAAATGCAGAACTAATGCTTGTAAGTGGAGGATATTGGGATCACTAATGCAAAGGGATATATCTACTTTTCAAATCAAGACGTTTGTTCCCGAGCATACTTGTTTTGGGTGGAACTATAACAACAAAACCATCAATTCTAATTGGATTGCAAGGAAGTATGTTGATAGAGTTAAATCAAAATAAGAACTGGAAAACATCAGAATTCAGAGATACATTGAGTAGGGAATTAAAGTTGCATGTGAGTATGCATCAAGCAAGAAGGGACAAAGGAAAAAGACTATTGCAATGATCGATGGAGATATAAATGATCAGTTTGGTATATTATGGAATTATTGCAATGAAATTGTTCGAACTAATCCTGGAACTTCTGTTTTCATGAAACTAACTCCAAAATGAGATTCTAAATAAGCCAATGAGATTTCAGAGGTTTTATATTTGTTTTGCAGCTTGTAAAGCAGGATTTAAGGCTGGTTGTCGAAAGATTATTGGGGTCGATGGAATGTTGGCTGAAGAATACTATGTATGGGGCACAATTGCTATCAGCTGTTACTTTGGATGGAAATAATAACATCTTTCCAATAGCTTATGCAGTAGTCGAGAAAGAAAATAAGGAAATGTGGCAATGGTTCTTAACCTACTTGATGAATGATCTTGAGATTGAAGAGCAATACTTGTGGACTTTTATGTCAGATAAGCAAAAAGGGCTCATTGAAGCTTTTGATTTAGTGTTGCCTGGTGTTTCTCATAGATTTTGTGTGCGACATTTGCATAGCAATTTCAAGAGAGCTGGATATTCTGGAATGGCTTTAAAAAATGCTCTTTGGAAGGCAGCTTCAGCAACAACTATTGACAGGTTTGATGTTTGTATGACTGATTTGTTTGAATTAGATAAATATGCTTATGCATGGCTTTTTGCTAAAGTGCCTAGTGAATGGTCAAGATCACATTTCTCGCCTCTTTCTAAATGTGACATTCTTTTGAACAACCAATGTGAGGTTTTTAATAAGTTTATTCTTGATGCAAGAGATAAACCAATTGTTAAACTTCTGGAGACCATTAGGCACTTACTCATGACAAGAATTAATTCTAATAGGGAGAAAGCTGAAAAATGGAACTTGAATGATATTTGTCCTACTATTAAGAAGAAGTTGGCCAAAACTATGAAGAAAGCTGCTAATTATATTCCCCAAAGGTCGAACATGTGGAACTATGAGGTAATTGGGCCGGTCGAAGGTGATAATTGGGGTGTTGACTTATATAACAGAACCTGTAGTTGTAGGCAATGGGAATTATCAGGAGTTCCTTGTAAACATGCTATATCCTCGATTTGGTTGAAAAATGATGAGGTTTTAAACTATGTTGATGATTGCTACAAGGTTGATACATATCGAAAAATTTATGAAGCTTCAATATTGCCCATGAATGGCCCTGATTTATGGCCTAAGTCACTGAATCCTCCACCATTTCCACTGTCTTACTTGAATAATAAGAAGAAAGGAAAGAAACAAAAATTAAGAAGGAAAGAAGATGATGAGCCAGGGGCTAGCAGGATGAAGTTAAAACGGAAACAAAAATCAGTTGATTGTAGAAAATGTGGTAAACCTGGCCACAACAGTAAAACTTGCAGTTTCTCCTCAGATGACATTGAAATTCATCTGTCGGACTTCCTTTGTAGTTTGGACTCCATCATGGTCGAGGAAGCATCAAGTTGCCAAAATGTTGAAAAGCTACCTGTAAGAATATTCAAATATTCATATTTAAGTTATTTTTATTGTAGCTTACTTGTATAACTATTCATATTTAATATTTTAATTTCTTATTTCAGGTTAGAAGAGGTACATCTCAAGCCAGCCAACAACGTCAGAGCTTTCCATTTTCTCTATGAAGTTGCAACATTGAAGAAAATACATTTTTAGCTTTGGATCTTTTTTTTGGATATTTGATGTATCAAACTAATGATATGTGACTAGTTTTTGTTGTTCATTTGTTATGTTCTTGTGCATGGAACTAATGAAAAATGTTTTAGCTTTATGATGATTTAATGACACTAGACTTTGCTGTTTTTTGCTTATTTTGTGGTGTCTTTGTTGTTACATTAACTTTCTGTTTTACTAAAATCATGAGTTTTTTTTCTTCTTTTCAGTTTTCTACTCTTTTGGGCATTATTTTGCTGTTTTGCTGCTGGTTTACCAGTTTTTTTTGTTGTTTTTCTGCAATTTTGCAAGTTTATGTTTTTTTTTTTACTATTTTCTTGCTTTTTTCTTTTTTGCTTGTTTAGTGGTTATTTGGTAGTTTAAAGTGCTCAAGGATGTGAAAAGGAAAAAACGATTAGACTATACCAAATGCTTTTTATTGAACTTGAAGACAGATGATGGGACAGATTTGAGAGGGGCAAAATAGGGATATGGGAGAGAGAAAATCACTTTTTGAAAAAGCAATGTTAGTTTTTTTAACTCAAATAGACAGAAGACTAACTTTTGTTATATTTAAATACTAAAAGGGTGTTTCTTGTTAACAATTATAGTACAAGGATGTAACCTAAGCTTTAGTCATAGTTAAGGGATGAATTTAGCCCAAAACTCTAATAATGTACATCAACTTAACTTTACAGAGCACTTATTCATTGATGCACTCAATTTCTACTTGTAAATATAAGATGGTTCCATCCTAATGCATTTCATATCATATCCATAAACCAGACTGAAAAACTTATCAAAGATTGCTATAACTTAAGCTTACAGAATGGAATGTGACATATATGGCAACCCCATCTGCACCATTTGACAAATGATCTGAATATCTTATAGATGAGATTTGGAGCGAAGCAAAAGAGGACTGACCTCATTGTCCAACTGCCCGAGAAATACGCCAAGAAACATGTTGTATTCTTGGACCTGCAAATGTGTGTTAGTGTCACTACAGATCGACTCACTAATGTACAAGTGTATATACATGATCCAGCTAATTACCAAGCGCAAAAACCTGCAGCCAATTTCTAGCAGGTTACAGATCTGTTAGGAATTCATAAGACCAACTAGCTTGGAACTTCCAGCTCTTCCTCCTTGCTCTTTTGATTTTTGATCCTTTCTGATTGAGAAACAAGCAGCTCGTAAACTCTTTTCTTCAACTACAAAAACCCAAACGAACATGTCAGAACATACTAACGAAGAAATAGCTTCAGGGAAATAACATAGCACTTCATGCTGACTATTGAGTTCTATTAGCCTATAGGGTGAAACTATGGATAGTGAAAGCAACTCCGGCGAGATTATTACAATAGTCTGAAGAAACTTAAGTAAAAAAACTCAACATTCATGTTTATGTCTCTGCCTCTGCGTCTGACACAGAATTATTCTTTATAAAAACAAACTAACAATTCACGGCTAATTTCAGATAGGTGCTCATAAGCTATGTATTTTGTGTCCAAGCTAAAAATGACTAGCAACATGCCGGAAGGGGAACAGAATGGTACCTCATGAAGACCAATCTCATTCTTTACCGACACATTTAGGGCTTCATCAGGTCCCATCTTCCTATACCTCATTAGCTCAAAGTTATCAACATTACAATCATCTGTTGCAAAGATGACAGGAGATGCTTGCAGTAAGTCACATTTGGACACGACATCAAGCCAAATATGGCTGCTGAATCTCTCTCGCATTTCCTTATAGATCACAAACTGCATAAACCACACTTGGAAATCAAACATTTTCTATACTATGAGAAAAGATAGAGAAGACTAAAAATTGGCTGTGGCAAAAACCAGTATCACAAAGTGTATTGACATTCTCCTAAGCTTTCCAGATTACTGATGAACATTTACAACATTGCATGTTTGGGGAGGGACAGACAATCCCCCAATCAAACAAAAGAAACAAGAAAACAGTTTCTTGTATAGCAGACAGAAGCTCTTATGTAGGGACAGCCAATCCCCAAATCAAATAGAAGAAACAACAAAACAGTTTTATAACCAATAAAACAGTTCGAAAGCAACGGGAAGCATTCACTGGAATCTCTTATATAGCACAGCTACTGCCTACTATATACTTTACTAGCTCCTGATAGAGAAAATATGTACACTTTACTAGCTCATGACCATTCTCATATGATCCATCTTCTCATTATTGGAGAGAATAGTTCATCCTAAATCACCAATACGCAAGTTCTAGTACGTCAACTTTTTGTTCATATACACTACTAGTACATGACGGTTCTCATTTTATCCATCTTCTCATTATTTGGAGAATAAAATAACATAGCTTATCAAAATCATGAATACGCAAGTTCTAACACATGCATAATTACTTCAGATATATAATAGATCCCACCTTCAGGTTAAACCATTCCGGTATAAAACAATAAAGAATCCCTCTCCACTAGTGGACTTGAAGATCAAAGTTCCAATAAAAACAGAAGCATAGAAATCATTGAGAAACCTGATCAGAAGGTGACATCCCACATTCTCCAGATAAATCATGAACATAAAGTACTGCAGTTGGCAAATGAGTGAGAACAGCAAGTGTTAACTTTTCCAAGTTATTCCTTTCCTCTGCAGGTTCAATCAAAATAAGGAAAAATTGTTAAAAACAAACATAAAAAGATAAGAGATGTAATCCTTGACAACAAAACACAAGAACAACATACCCAGTGAAATCCCACTAAGTGGGTCTACAACAAAATACAAAAGTCCAGATTATACGAAAGAAATTCAGAGAAGTATGAGTAATGTCTCACTGTTTGCTAAGCAGCTAGCAAAAATAAGACTGTAGTTGCATTATTTTTCTTTTATGTCAAAACGTGGGAATTTCTATTTACACCCATTCCAGACAACCTTCCATCACTAGATTCATTCTAACGTAGAAATTGAGCAATACCTTCTCATCTCAAACAAGCCAATTTTATTCTAGTTCTTTGGAGAACTAGACTGTTACTTGGATAAGCGAAATTGCGGCTATTAGTATAATAATTTGTCGTCTAAGTAGTACACTTACCCAAAAGATTTTTGCATGCAAAGGTAAAAGTTCTGTCAATAGTATACCAAGTTTTAGTCCAACTAACTCTCTTCCCCATAAACACATCATTATGCACAGATAAACCAAGAGAATTTGTACAACTCGTATCCTACAAATAATCTTTTCGACCAACAAAAGTGACGATGTGTCATCGGCTTCTTTATATTATGTAGGAGAAAGTAAAGGCATTCATAAAAAAAATATTCATGTTATTCAAATGGTAAATCAAGAAGAAACTTTTACCATCAGATCTCCTTAAGATACCAGGGGTATCAGTAACCTGAAGATAAAAATGCTTAATCAGTAAAATAGCAGAAGAAGCAAAAAGGCATGAAGCATTTGAGAAAACCTTTTCACTTTGAAATAAAGACTAACCTGAAAATTCTGGTAACTCAAATTAATATGACCCATCAGAATTCCTCTAGTAGTGAAGGGATAGTTGCAGATCTGATAAGATTCAATGACATTACTGGGAACTCAATCAAGGAAAAAAAAGTATGTGATGAAAAGATGCAATCAACTGGAGAAAGTACATCGAAAACTTTCTATATGGTTGATAGGGGCATGCAAGAAAGTACGTATAGTTAGGATTTAGTTCTAGTCAAAACATCAAACCAAATTCCTTTTACTCATTCGTAAAGCCGTAGACAAGTCTCAAAATTCACTTGTCTACCAATGCATCCATGCCTATGATATTGCCAAACTATAAGAAACATCTTTATAACAAGCCAGATAAAATAACTGACGAAACAGTGATTAGGTAAAGAGGAAACTAAATTGATTGGTAATAATTGTTAGTTTATAATCATATCTGGTCATTTCATAAGCTTCCATCTCATTGCTTATCTTCCACTTCACTTTTTCCTTACTATTACTTTTACAGATCTAACATTTGAGACCTGAGTTAGCCAAACTAAATACGGGTCAGATTTTAGAAAAGCATTTGAAGGCAAACCAAGATTCAGAATAAGAAATTTCTTCGCACCCAAGTCTTTTTTCAATGGATGGTAACTCTAGAAAATTTGCCTTTCTCAAGAGCATACATATTATTATGTATAACTATCTAAAGAATGATGGGTGAAATCCCTTATCCCAGATAAAAAAACAAGTAAAAATGGAATGAAAGCTAGCCAACTTAGTACGTACCTCAGGCTTCCCTGTCGAAAGTACGCGAACCAAAGATGATTTTCCGACATTGGGAGCACCAACAAGACAGAGAGTTGGTGTTTCCAGATCGACAACTGGCATTGCCCGTAATGTCTGCCACCAGTAAAATTTGTCAGAGACTGGCAGAAACCACTTTCTTCGATTACACAAGCAAAGATCATTGTTTAATAATCATCTATTAGGAAATCCAACTAAAAAGCTTCCACACAATCAGGAAGCTAGCTATCATGACATGTAATGTTACTGTATTTGTTGTAAAATCATAGACACAGACGTTTGATGTAATCAGTGTTGTCAAAGGAGCGTGCTTAAGCCCTAAAGCGAGGCTCAAAACATGTTGAGTGTTTTGCTTCGCTTAATGTGTGCTTCAATGTCGTCATCAAGGCTCTAAGACAAACTTTCTTGAAGAGGCGACACTAAACAATTGTTATTTCACTTTATTGTTTACAAAGATTCAATTTCTTTATCCATATATTTTTTACTCATGCTTATGATTATTATTCTTGGACTAAGCATATATATTTGTATACTTTCAGGAAGAGGCGACACTAAATAGTTGTTATTTCACTTTACCGTTAACAAAAAATCAGTTTCTTTATCCATATATCTTTTATTCATGCTTATAATTATTATTCTTGGACTAAACATATATATTGGTATGTTTTCTCCAGTTGCAACTTTTTCTTTTAAAGCCTACGCTTTATTTGCACTTTGCGCGTAAAGCCCCGACGGACCTTGAAGTTGTTTTGCGCTTTTTTCTTATGATAAAACTGGATGTAATTGCATCATGTCCCTTTTTTTCTTGACATCTTTCTGATGTATTAAATGAAGGTTCGCGATAATAATTGTTTGAAACTTCATTTCAGTTTTCAGTATACTAATGTCAGCATAGATCTAAACCACTTCTTTTTCTACTTTTAGTTCATCTATAAGACTCATAGTGTATCCCTAACTGGCATTACCTTGGCAATGTTCAATAGTTCATCAACAGCTTTTCCATCACCATCAAATATTTCCTCAATTCTTTTCAATCCCTACAGAGACACTCTCTCACAGATCAACTTATGGATTATATCAGATAAATATAAAATTTAGTAAAATTGAAACTATCAGACTACCTCATTCAGTCGCTCCTCTGCTTCTCGTTTAGATAATGACTGGCACAAATTGCATCAATTACTTGATTTGCATCTTAAATAGAAACAGAAACCATAAAAGTAGAAAGTAACAACTTCTTAAATATTTCATCAAATCAATAATGAGAAAATAGAACATAATAACATTTGTAACAAACATGAGCTGTTAGCATGTCATCCATTCTCAAGATCGTGTATGGGTTAATGAGTGGTAGATTTACACTCATTTGAGGCCTAATAGCTCAATAATTAGTGTCCTCAATGACTAATTATGTCCTATTCTAATTATATTTTGATGATTGCAGCTATGAAGGCTAATGAACAAGGCAAGGATGAATGTTTGAAAGAATGACCAAAATTGTAAGAAGTGCAAACTATACATTGATGATCGCCAAACAAGAAAAGTGGATCGCCTAGTGAGCAGGGCCTCGCCCAAAGTGACAGTGCACAACACTTGTGTTTATCAAGGCAAGTCGGCGAACTCCAAACAGAAAGGCGACTCGCCATATGAGAAAGGGCGAACAGGTTGACCATCGCCGAAGGCGATAGTACAAGGAGAAAAAGTGAAGGCTCGAAAGGCGAACTAAGATGGTACTCAACGATACGTCGAATATGAAAGGTGGATTTGAATGAGCTCGCCAACTAAGGTTCAAACACTTGAAACTTAGAGAAAGAAAAGGCGAGCTGAAGAGCATAGGGTGATTCGTCCAACGTGATTGGCGAGCCCGACTAATGTCGCCCAATGGGTCATGTAGTGAGTTTTGGGCCAGATTTTGGGGAAATTATAAATAGCCCAAAGGAGAGAGAAATTGGAGGTCAGAGAATTTACTTGAGAAATGAGAGTTTGAGTGTAAAAAAAATTGAAGAGAGAAAAACACTTTATCTTGTGAGGAACACTTTCTAGTTTTTGGGGTTTTCAACTTTGCTCTTGAAATTGACAAATTGAAGTTGAATTCACTACAGGCTATAGCATCTACCTAGGTGCAAACTGTATTTCTTGGACTTCCACGAAACAAACAACAGTAGCAAGATCAACTGTTGAAGTTGAGTATAGAGCACTAGCCTCCTGTACAGTAGAGATGACACGGATCATCTACCTACTTCATGATCTCGGAGTGTACCTCAAGACAGTTCCTACATTGTATTGTGATAATTTGAGTGTTTTGTACATGACAATAAATCCAATTATGCATGCTAGAACCAAACACGTAGAAATAGACTATCATTTTGTTTGAGAAAAGGTGGCCAGAAGTCAACTTTTTACACAGTTTGTGAGGTCTAAGGATCAACTAGCTAACATTCATACAAAAGCATTGACAAAGCAAATCTTTGCTGGTTTTAGAAGCAAGCTAGGAATAACTGTTCTACCACTCACTAGCTTGTGGGGAAGTGTTGAAGGTAAGGATCAAGCTGAAGATAAGGATCGAGTTGATCAGCATGGTACAACTGTTAGAAGTCTTGTTGGCTGTTAAGAAGTTAGAGTCGGACTAGGACTAGGCTATGTAAGTGTAGTAGTTGTACTTAACCTCTACTCTTGTAATTGTATTTGTATTATAGTATAACTCTAAGTGTAGCTAGCCTAGGACCCTACAACTCTATATCAACTCCTATATAAAGGCGCATGTACTCAAAAGTTTATCATTGAATACAATGCTTGATTTCTCTCAATCATTGTTGAGATTTCTAAATATATAAGAGAACAAGTACGATCAAAATAGACTAACCAGTTCCTAATTCTTAGAGGATCCTTGAATCAAGAGATTTCATCTAAATAATGTTTCATAGAACAACTCCTAACAACTTCTCCTGAAATTATATGTTATCCCATATTTAGAGGACCAGATCACAATCAAATCTGTCAGCTCATTCCAGGACCAGATTATGATCAAACCTGCCAGCTCATTCAACAAAGACTTTATACAGGTCTTTCCTCTTATTACCTTCCATGAAAATAAGCAATCAGGAGAGGATGGAGCTTTAGAATTTTCCCCATTTTCTCTGCAATTCTTGTTCATCTATTCTCGCATACTTGACATAGCCTTCATTTTTTAATCACTAGTCCAAACCAATATAGGACCTAGTCAAGTTGAAATTAAGAAATTGTGTTGCTATGGCTCATGCAAAAGATGTTACCATAAATGAGATAACAAATTGAAGATACTTCCAACATCTTGACTTGTTTGCCTAATTTTTCTCCTTAAAATTCCACAACTATAGCGATAGTAGCGGTCTATTTTTATTTGCAGCATCTGTATGATTTAAAGATGTTGGCTAAAGAGGTTCAATAAGGCCACTGCAGGGTAGGGATGTGAGTGGATCAGACTCAAAGAAAAGAAGAAGCTGGCCACAAGCATGAATTAAGGAGATTAGACAGAAATTTGACCTACCTAGGAGATAGATAATTTTGTTTAATTTAGAAAGGGTGGCGGGATGGGAGCCTAATCTTATATGCAAGTCAAAGTATACCGATAGCTCCTATGGAAGATTTTCTAATAACATGGAATACCTACGGGGCAAAAAGAAGAATGTCATCTAGAGGGCTATTTTACCTAAGAATGTTTCAAAATAAAAAACCGGAGAGCGGGGAGAGGTGAGAAGAATAGCAGCATACAATTACAAAGTAGGTCACTATTTTATGCAACTAGTTTTCCAACCTTAGCACATAATGATGCATGTTCCTTTCCAACTGATACCACCTTTTTCCTTAAAGCTTCTAACTTTCCCAATACCTGCAAAAGTGTAGTTACTTAGATGTAAGACATGAGAGGGACAAACCAAAAATATTGAAATAGATATCTAGGGTAGAGAAGAAAAGGAAAAAAATGGATACACATCGTCTTGTTTTTTTTTTTCTTTTTTGACAAGGAAAAAAAGATGATAGTTCTATTGATAGGAAAAGACAAAAAAAAGCCATACAAGAACGGAGAAAAAAACGATGTACCACTAAATGTTGACACCTCAATTCACCAGAAAAATCACAGAGTTACATACATTAGTTTCTCTTCTCAATCAATTAACTCAAAATTAGCACGGTGCCAGCATTATGTCCCAAATGTTGAACAAAATGTAATAAAGATAAACTTCAAATAAATGTTGAGTTTAAACAGTTGAACCTTTCATTAAAACATGCAAGAAATGAAAACCATAAACCTCCTGAGAGGGGTTGACGATATATAAAATGCTAGTTTCAATGAATATTGAAACATAAATCCAGACCCTGAAAATCACTCCATCCAACTGAAGGACCCAACAGAATCATTTCATGTCTGTCAAATATACGTGTCAAATAACTTCACAAACTCAAAGCTTTACTTAGATTAGCTAAAAACGACATAAAACACAACAAACCCCAAGATATATGCTCCTAGCATTGATCCTTTTTTTCTTCTTTACTATCTTTTAATTTTCAGGACAGAGACATTTAAGACTTCCAATTTAACTACATGTACTTTTCTGAAGAGTCAAAAAATCATTTTTCAAAATTCAAAGCTATTTCCCTGCAGGAAAAGTTACTGATGACCTAAATTTCCCTGAAATACCATTATTTGGAACAAGATACTAGAGTGATTGAAAGTTACATTTTCATAGTTTCCGTCTCCGAGCGTTAACTCAATCAAAGATCGTTCATAAGGGTGCAAATATTTTTTGTTTGGGAAGTTCTCTTTGTATGTCCTCAAGGGCACAGCCAACTCCTGCATATACAAAATGAATGATAAATGTAAATTCTGTTTCGTATGAGAATATCAAAATTATAGATGTATCCTCCAATGAGAAGCATTAGTCTGTTTGAGAATCTCACCTTCATTAATGCGTCAAGTTGTTTTGCGCCTTTATTTCTCTCACGTTTTGCAGCATTAGCAATGCCTGTTAAACATTTTAACTAAATGCGATAATTCCTTTCATTTGTGCATGCTTGAGTCAATTACAAGAATTGATACTACAATGATGAGGTGGAAGTAAAAAGTACATATATGCAGAACACGAGATTACCCTTTGTAGGCGAGACCCTCCTTGCTTTCCTCAGTGCTGAATGTAGAATATCTACAGACGGCATTACCATGGGTAATTTTTGAAATGCACCTACATTTTCTACCTTAGGTGTCAATTTTTCCTACAAAAGAATGAGTAGTCGCATTCACTTTCAATGTGAACAATAAAAGAACAGCATTCATTCATAGAACAGGACAGAGGTAATTCACAGTAACTATCCAACTATAAAAATTAATTCAAATGGTAACAGAAATCTAAAAATGAAAGTAAAGGAGTAGCTATACTTTGTTTTCTTGTTGGTTCTGTGGATTTGATACATAGCTTCCTTTAGCAATTGCATACGTAGTAGTTTGCATTTGCTTACAAAAACATGACATTGGATACAAAACACGTACAGGAACCAAGTACAGACCTGCGCCCCGCAACGACATATTTGTTATTGGAGAAATAGACCAAACAAAAAGTTCAATCATCAAATCCGTACCAAAATTCATGCTATTTCAAAATCTCGTGTTAGACCAATATAAGTACATAGGGAGACTATATAGAGAAATCAAATTGTCTCCAAAGTGCACGGAGTAACAACAATCCGGAAAAAAATTGTGTTTTAGGTTTAATTCACTGCATTGAAAAACACAAAACAGTACCTTTGGAAAGCTTGGAACGGCCGAAAAACAGTGATGAGGACGGAACTTGCCATAGCTGAAGAAGACCTGAAGTACCGCTCATATCTCTCTTAGCGCTGAGCTCTGAATATCCCCAAGAAAAAAAAAAGGGACTGGCGGTAGTGGTACTGGCCTTCAACAAAATAACGATTTTCAATTATAACACAAGGATACAAATTTATCCTTAAAAAAAGGGGCAAAAGAAGCTAATTTTAGTTGTTATTTGCTTATATTATTAGGTCACCTAACGTAAGATAAATTTGATGGTGCAAATATTTTTTATATTTTCAATGTATATAAATTATAAACTTTATAACCGGGATTCGTGAACCCAACCAGACCCATTTAGGGACGTTTCAAAATTGGGTGGTACCTTTTCTATCGTGTTGGGTACCATCGGATAATATTCACAAAAAAAGAATATGATTTTTTATTTTTTTTTTGTATGTTCACAAAAAAGAATTCAAGTTCATCTAGCTCATGTAGCGTACAATATCACAATAACCAATTTATTATAAATTAACAACTAGGAGGCTTCGTCCAAATCTCTTGCTTACAAAATTGACAAGTAGGAAGGATACAAAATTGACAAGTAGGAACAAGAGGGCTTCGTCAGTTTACAATTTTAGGTTAAGGTAAGTCAAAAAACTTTTCTTTCAAGTTGAAATATTATGTCACTTTTTACATTTTTTGCATAGAACGTTTCTACGTTTCTGCTTATTATGAAAAAAGTTTGCATTGAACATTTCCGCTTATTATGAAAAGTTATCTTGGATGTCTCCGCTTACTTTTTGTTTATTATGAAAAGTTTGCTAAGAGAACAAGGTCTCGTTATTCACCCCTTTAGCATTACTCGCATTTACTCGCCTTTGAAAAATTACATCTTATACAACGTCTATTCACCTTTGAAAAATTACATCTTATACAACGTCTATTCGCCTTTGAAGAGTTACATCTTATACAGGGTGTACTCGCCTTTGAGAAGTTATTACATCTTATACAGCGTTGTCAGGTATGTGTACAAACCTCAACTCAATAGTCAGTATTTGAAAAGTGACAACTTACTTCAACTATATTGCAACAATCAAATTCAATCTCAAACAAAATAACGATTTGCAATTTAAAGAAATTCTAATGTAAATTGGTGCATTCTACGACTTTTAAATCTAATTTAAAAGTTTTAGATGAGATTGAGAAAAACTAACCGAATAAAAAAAATGAAATGTAGTCATTAAATCTAGTAGGTTTTCTTTTAAAAAAAGAAGAGAGTGTAACAATTAAATCTGGTAGCTAGTAACTTAATTAGGTAATTAATTATATCTATATCTTTAAATAATTACGTATCTTATTAATTTTTGCTATCATATACTATAATAGGGAGAGAGGCGAGCGAGATCGCCATATATTCCATATATATGCCAATCACTCTAAATATATGTATATGTATGCATCTGGTGTGATTCACATGTAGATATATAGGAGAGTGGCGAGCGAGATGAGAGGTGAGTGAGATTTGTTATGTATCTCAAATACATGTGAATCACTTGGTTGTAGTGTACCTAGAACAAATTATACCTAATTTTGACCTCATGTATCTTGAAATACATGTATCTAAATGCACCAAAATCTGGTAAGATTCATAATATTACAAACTAGCATGTATCTAAGTAATTAGCTCCTAAACTAGTGAGATTAAGGTGAGTTTCACAAACGAAAAGGTCAAAAATGTTCAAGTGTTCAACCTCTATTATATATATTAAAAATTATTTTTAATCATGTATAAACAGTATAATTTTCCATTACTCAGTCAAGAAAGGAGTGAAAATTATCTAATTTAAAATGTTATTTAAGTAAATTTTCATTTAATTATTATATGTCTGAGTCGTGTTATTCATATAATTTTTTATTTTAGTTAAAATGTATATTTATTTGAGAAGCATTATGACAATAGCTATTTATTGAAATAACAAGATCTCATATTATCTTTTCAAACAAACAAGACTACAAGTTCTTCTAATAAGTTTCCTTTAATATAGGTCCTTGTATCTCTTGCAATACACATTTAAAAATAATTACTTCCATTTCAATTTGTTTAACTAGATCAAACTAATTAATATTTCATGTAAATTTACCTATTTAAAAATTATATAAAAAGTACTATATGACTCAACAAATTGGGTCAATCCTTAAAAAATACCCATCATAGCCCTTTAGCAAATTGGGCCAATCCTTAATATGTAGCCATTAATGAACTAGGACGGGTCCAAGCTAACTCGGCCCATTAAGTAGTCAAGATAATTAATTACTCATATTGCAACAATCAAATTTAATCTCAAACGAGATAACGATTTGCTATAATTTTCTTTCTAATCTCAAACGATATAACGATTTGCTATAATTTTCTTTCTAATATAAGTTGGTGCATTGTATAATTATGACTAGGAGAGTTTTGGTTTTTTAAAAAATATTGTAGTTTTTTTTTTGTTTTTAAAAGGAAATGTAATAACTAATTTTTCGCTAATAATTTAATTAGATAGTTAGTTATTTTCTCTCTCTTTTGAATTTGAAAGATTCCTAATTCAAATGAAATTAGGATTGTATTAGTTTCTTCTGTATGCTTCTAACAACCCAACGTATATATGTATATATAGTCTTTAATTTTTATATTTTGTGTAATTTATAACATTTTGTGTTTACATCTAAAAATATACCCACAAAAAAGTCAAAGAGGTTCATGGTTCAATATCTATTATATATATATACATTAAAAATTAATTTTAATCAAGTATAAATAGTATACATTTTCTACTCTCCACCATTACTAATTACATTGTCAAGAAAACTAACAAAGAAGAAGTGAAAATTACATAATTTAAAATGCTATTGAAATAAATTTTTCAGTTAATTATTATATGTATGAGTCGTGTTATTCAGATAATTTTAACTAAAATGTATATTTATTTGACCGTAGCTATTTTATTGCAATAATAAGTTTCCTTTAATATTGGTCCGTGTATCTCACAGTTAGTTGTAATACCCATTTTAAAAATAATTACTTCCATCTCAATTTGTTTGACTTGATCAAACTAATTAATATTTCATATAAATTTACATATTTAAATGAGCAAGACGTCAATCGTTTGTGGGAACGTATTAATCTTAATCATTTAGATTTATCAAAAATTCAAACTCTATTGAAATTTCTAAAATTCTGGTCTAATTTAACTAGGTAATTATAATGAGGTGTAACTCTGAATTTAAAAGAATTCTAACTTAGCTGAAATTACTATAATTCTGTTTCTTTTGACTTATCTCTACGCAACTCTTTAAGTATATGTATACCTCTTTCATTTTACCTTTTTTTTTACATCTTTTTCTATGGTATAAATTTTCTTTCTTTTGCAATGAACAACCACAACAATGAAGAAAACAATGAAGAAATCAATAGAAAGAGGAAGAATTTTCATACTCATTTCGAAAATCGTTGCGAAAATCTACTAGAAGAAGATGATGATGAACTCTTGAAACTTTCATTAGTGACACCCTTCCGTTCTACTAGACCTCGAATACAACCTCGTGAAAATATCGAATCTCTCTCACCACTCATACTTGAAAATCACGAATCGAGTACTTTGAACCTTCCACAACTCGCGATTTTAACACCAACCATTCTAAAAAAAGAAATTGGTCAGCGTAAAAGACGTAACTCCTTAAAGCCAAAGCCGGGTAATGCTAAAGAGGTGAATAATATTGAGACTATCACTCCTCCATTTCCTTGGGCGACTAACTTAATAGCTACTGTACACACGTTGCAATACTTGTTATCCAAGCAACTTTTCATGATAAGCGGAGATGTTCAATGCAAGAGGTGTGAGAGGAGATACACTATGGAATTTGACTTGAAAGAAAAGTTTGTTGAAATTGGATCTTACGTGATGAAAAATAAGACTTTTCTCAAAGAACGTGCACCGTTTATTTGGATGACTCCTCTCCTTCCTACTTGTCAATTTTGTAAACAAGAGAATAGTGTGAAACCGATTATTTGTGCAGATAAGAATAAGATAAATTGGTTGTTTTTGTTACTTGGGCAGATGTTGGGCTGTTGTACACTGGATGAACTTAAGTTTTTTTGTGAACATACTGATAATCATCGAACGGGTGCAAAGGATCGTGTTCTTTTTTTGGCATACCTAACGTTGTGCAGGCAAGTCGATCCAACTGGTCCATTTCATCGTTGATACCCGATCAGGACGCGTTTCGTTTTCCTTGCATTATGAATTTGGTATTTTTTTTTATCGAATGACGGTAAGATTTAGTATGTTTTTTTCTTTTTAATTCTGTTTGTTTGTTAATGATAGAAGCAATTTATTTTTACTTGTAGTTAAGTTACATTTGTTAAATTTATTTTTACTTGTAGTTAAGTCACATTAATGATACATGCAATTTGTTTTTATGTCGCATTTATTCATTTTTACGACTGATTTCTTCATGCATGAGTTTACAGTTATGCTTTCGATGTTGGCCTAGGTTGTGTATTGACACTGGAATCTCTAAATTCCTATCATTTCTTTGTTATTGCAAATGAAAGATGTAATTAAGTTAATTGTGGCAACAAAAAATTGGAATCTCTAAATTCCTATCATTTCTTTGTTATTGCAAATGAAAGATGTAATTAAGTTAATTGTGGCAACAAAAAATTGGAATCTCTAAATTCCTATCATTTCTTTGTTATTGCACATGAAAGATGTAATTAAGCTAATTGTGACAACAAAAAAATGTTACATATGAACACAATTTGACTGATTATTGATAGACCGATCAAGTCAATTTAGTTGTTAATACCAATAGATATGACTTATTGACTTATATAATTATCAATGGAGTGGTTAAGATGCCTCGATTCGAATTAGGATCGGACGTTAATCATTCTTAACTAAATTTTTTATAGATTCAAGTCTTGGAATTGCCTTTGTTATCTTATAGATTCGAGTCCCAGGAGTCGCCTTTGTTATCTTATAGATTCGAGTCCAGGAGTCGCCTTTGTTTCGCTTCTTTCTCAGAGAGCGAGGATAGCGATCATAAAATCAGACTTTTTATCATCAAATTATTTTTTGTTTCGCCTCACCTATTTCTCAGAGAGCAAGGATAGCGATCATAACATCAGACTTTTTATCATCAAATTATTTTTTTCTAATTTGTAGGCTAGAGATTGCCATTGGTTTGTATCTATATATATATATTATTTAAATATTTTTTAATCTTGTGGTCTTAAACTTGTCATGTGGAAGTTAAATTTAAAAATTGACAAAAAAGAAAAAAGCATTCTTTAATGTTTCGAAACAAACTAAAGAAATATACAATATAATTTATTTATTTTTATTAAAAATACTTATAATAATTCTATTATTACTAAAAAAAATAGCGGCCCTCAAATTTGGTGGCCTAAGGCGGATGCCTCATTTATAAACACATTGAGTCACGGTGTGATAACGACTGACAGTATTGCTTGAAATGGTGGTGGTTGTGATGACAAAGGTGGTTGGTGGTTCACGATAGTGTCGAAGAAGCCAAAGGAGGTTAAACATCTACCATATATACGAAAGAAATAAGGAATTTTAAAAATATGTATAAATAGTGTAATTTTTCTCCAAGGGGTTTATCCAAAGCCCCTTAGCCTTATGTGGCTCCACCCCTAATTGCCAACGATAGTGATGGTTGTCAATGGTGGTGGTGATGGCAACAGAGGTAGTTAGTGGTGGTGCTTGGTGATTGTGCGGATAGAATGGTGGTGAAAATTATTCACAAAAATACCTCTTAATGATATTAAGACCTATTCATACCAAATAAGTGTTTAGATGTTAATGTAAACAAATACACTTAATTGTAAGGCCTCTCCAAAAACACACCCAACGACATGTTTAAAGAGTCCGAACAACATAAACTAAAAGTAGACATTAATGTTACCTCAGTTGTGAGATTGCCTCCAGAACCACCAAATGTTTTAGAAGACTCCATGACACCAATTGCTAGTACGCCAAATAACAATGATTATTACAAACGAAAATTTTAAGTAATTAGGAACGATGACTAGTATGCCAAATAACAATTATTATTACAAACGAGGAAGACAAGATATTGTATTGTGTTGTATAATTTATCGTACTTGTATTATTTTGATGAATATATATAATATTTGGATAGATTGTATCGTTCTTTGTCGTTACATAATACCACACATCAACAATTTGAATGATAAACCTATAAGAAAGCTAGAAAATTAGAAGATTACGACACGATCACGGTTACATAAAATGAGAAATGATAGATTTAAACGATACGTCCATACAAAGTATAAACATGATATTTAAACTAACAATACAATACAACGGGCGCGATCAAGCACCAAACTGATGGTTATGAGACTTTTCGTCATTACTTAACGATGGATTTAAACAACGTCATACAAAATATAAATATGATATTTAAACTAACGATACAATACAACGAGTAACAATTACCATCCAAACAAGATGTTATTGATCAATATACTTAAAAGCTTATCTACATAAGCTAGCTCAATATATTATTGATGAGATAGTATGCCTACTAAGAAGGTAAAGTTATACTTGTTGGCATAACATACAAACCAACGGCATCAAGAAATAAACCTGAAAATCCATGGAATCCAACAACAACCCCACCTTGCATAATAAATGAGAAGTTGGTATCAGTTTCAATTACTGAACCCATAGGGCCATGATGGCTAAGGTTAGTGTGTAACTTGATGGATTTTATTATAAGATAGGGACCATAGAGTCCATATGTCCCACTTAAGCCTGTCAAATACTCTGAAGGACTGTCTATATTGATCTACATAATTCAAGAAAAAGCCCATTAGCCTTATTAACAGGAGAATATTGAATGATGGTTGGGAACAAAGAAAAAAATTATTATTTCACTATATATATATATATATTAAACTCATTCTCAAAGGCGATATTGATTAGAATGTATATGGAATACACTAGCTAATAGAACTTATACTAGTTGGTGGTAGTTGACGACAATGCTAGATGTGATGGCGGAAGTGATTGATAATAAGGATCAAACACTGTAGTGGTGGTAGTGGTTGATAATGGTGGCGACAATGGATATAATTATAATGATGGTGAAGTGGTAGGTGTGACAGTGACTGGCAGTAGTGGTTGATAACGCTGGTAGTTATGATAACAAAGGTGGTTGATACTTTGCGATAGTGGCAAAATTAGGATTTTTCACTAAGAGGGTCAAAATATTATAAAGTAAACACAGAAGAAGCCAAAAGAGGTTTAACATCTACTATATATATGTAAGAAATATTTTTAAAACTATGTATAAATAGGGTAATTTTTCCCCGAAGGGGGTTCATCCTAACCCCCTCAACATTACCTGGCTACACCCCTAGTTGCTGACGGTAATGGTGGTTGTGATGACAGAGGTGGTTAGTGGTAGTGGCCGGTGATTGTGTGGATAGAGTGGTAGTGAAAATTATTCAGAAAAATACCTCTCAATGATATTAAGACCTATTTTAGATATTCATTTAGTGCAAATAAATAAGACCTAAAACTATGTTGTTAGGCCTCTCCAAAAACATCACCACACACGTATCATGATCCAACAGGATATTTAAAGAGTCCGAACAACATAGACTAAAAGTAGAGATTAGTGTTACCTCAGTTGTGAGATGGCCTCCAGAACCACCAAATGTTTTAGATTCCATGACACCATTTTCTTCACTGCTCTTAAACATTATAGAATCTATAATCAATCCATGCTTTACAACTATCTGTTTCACTACACCTTTAGGCCTATAATTCCAATGACTTCCTCCAGAACCTCCCCATCTCTCAACACCAATAGCTCCACTCTGTAATTTCACTTCTCTAGTAATAGATGTTTCTTCTTCATTTGTATCAGGCAAAACTACACCATAAGTTGTTAAACTTTCTGTGAGGCTTTTTAATCTCTTGTTGATCTTTCCTATATCCCACCCTATTTTGTACCTTGGAATAACCTCTTTCACAACATTAGATAACATTGTACAGAAACAATAAACAGTGTCTTCCTCGTTTGATCTCTGTATTACCTCAGCAGCAAACTTCTCAACTACGCCCTCAGCATCTTGTGCAAGGTCTCTAATTTCATCAGCCCAATTTTTTACTCTTTCTCCTTTCTGTTTTCTTGTATCAACGTCTTTCAAGAATGCTCGCATACGTCCCAGCTCTGTAACAAGTTCTCTTACTTGTTCATTCAGTCCATATAGGAATATTGCTTGTTCTGTGATTTTTGATATTGCTTTGGTTATAGCAGCCTCAGCCATTTCAAGTGTACGTTGTCCTGGATATTTCGAGAAGTAAACTGATCATATGGGATGAAATTAAACATGAGGCTAATATGTTATCTTGGTGTCCTTTGTTGACTTTGTCTTCCAGTCCCTCACCAAACAACAACGACAAAATACTTAGTGTTAGTGTAATCCCACAAGTGGGATCTGGGGAGGGTACATAACCCACTCTTAGGAGGTAGAGAGATCTTCGAGTCGCTCAGAGACATTAGAAATAAAACAAAAACTAGCAGAAACTGAAAAAACTATACCATCAAATGTGAGTTCCTGTTGATTCTTTCTTTTCAACAATTTCTCTTAAATCTAACAGCCAATGCTCACTTTTGACAAACTTAAAACTCCAAAACTATTAAGAAAGTATATTTAAGGGATTATTTTAAGCCTATCCCAAACATAATGAACCATTTTTCTATTTTCTCTATTGGATACTAGGACCACTCAAGTCACATCACAAAGACAATGGTACAAGGTTGTATTAATGGGCATAAGTTGTAAGAAAGTAAATGACAGAACAGGTGTCATTTGATAGTTGGTTACAATTATGCAAATATAAGTAATGTAGGGATTAGTTAGGAGGGAACCTATATAATATTTTATGCGGAGTTCAGTTATTTTATTTTTTATCCCGCATAAAATAACACATAGATACCCTTAAGGGCCGTTTGGTTATTGGTTAGAGTTATGCAGATATTAGTTATATATGCAGGGTTTAATTATGCAGGTATTAGTTATGCATGTATTAGTTATGTAGGGTTTAGTTATGCATGTATTAGTTATGTAGGGTTTAGTTATGCAAGTATTAGTTATGCATATATTATTTAATTATGTAGAGATCACAATGCATGAATTATTAACTAATAAATATTGAATTTGTTGTAAATTAATATATATTACTTACAAATAAAATAAGCAAGCAAAATAGTATAAAATTCTCCCTCTTTTTGAATAAAAAGTAAAGAAAAAAAATTCTCCCTAGATACTTAATTGGGACTCCTATTTTTTCATTTTGTTATTTTTTTATGTTTATAACTTATAAAAATAAAATACGATTAATATATTTCAAGTACATTATAATATCCTATTTTATATAATGTAAATATTCTATCAATATGTTGTATATATTGTTTATATATATAGTTTTAATATACCAAATATATGAATTATGTATAAATTCACATCCTAAACAAAATAATA